CTTTTTATTACGTATTTGTATCAGGTGTACAGCTTAGTGGTTCGACAATCATAGACTTTACAAAGTGTTCTCCCTGATGTTTCCAGCACCCACCTGGTACTACAGAGTTATCACAATATTATTGACTATATTCCCTGTGCTTTTCTTACTACCCTGTGACTATTTTGTAGCTACCAATTTGTTCTTAGTCCCTTCACTTCTTTCAGTATTTTCTCTTATTTCCTCCCATAGCATCTCTCAAAATCCCCCGATTCAGAAAAAGCTTTTTGTCCTGAGAGTCCTCTTTGACTCCTATTACTATACAACTGTGTCGCACGAAATGTTATGTTTCATCCATCACTGAGGATAACGACCAATAAAATTTAATGAGACTCACGCAGCAGTGACTCATCTGACCCAGCAATGACAACAATAAAAGAACGGAAATTGTTCAAAACTGGAAAATTTTTTCGATGTCCAAATAAATATGTAGACATGGAGCCATCTAACGTATCTCCACTTACGCTTTCTGTTTGTCTTCAAAAAAGAGAAAGAGCTGATCACAAGCTGGTCGTTCTTCTAGTCCAGAAAGCGCGGAAGTCCGCATACATGGGTTTCAAAGATTTACAGGTCCTGGTGTCATCCGACCAATGAGATCGCTCTGTCTACTCTCCCTTCCCCAGCCGCTGATCCGAGAGCATTAATGATCCGAGAGCATTAATTCTGATTTTAGTCCCGTCTTGTTCGTCCTCTCCTGAAAAGTTCTAGGTGGCTCGTCAGCCGGCTTTGTCTCTAGGTCTTTGCTTCTTGGTACAACAGGCCTTGGGTGAGACATTTGCTCAAGTGAAGTAGCTGTGTCACTGGTTGGAATCTGTCTGCAGACAATGGCTGTGAAAGGCACAATGTGCCTAGGAGACAGACTGTAATACCAGCTTTCATTTGTGCATTCTCTTCTTAGGGCCCTAGAGGGCGCCCCAGGGGATAAGTAGAAGGCTAACGCCTTCCTCCTGGGGGCGGGGGCTGATGCGGTAACTGTTAAGTGTCCTTCCCGGCTGGAGTCAGAGTTGCAGAAAAGAGATGGGAGACCCAATGAAATTTGAAGTTCTGACAAGCAAGGAACATATTTCCAGTGTAATTATGTCCCTAGTACTGCACGAGTTGTCCTTACACTAAAACCTCATCTGTTGTTTATCTGCAATACAAATGTACCCGATCCCCCCATATCTTTATTTGATAAGTTTGGTCACTCTGGCTTGAGTATAAATATCTCTAATGGCATCTGTAGGGTAGGACAGGGTGTACAGAGCCTGGGGAATAAGCTTACTAGGTCAGGATCAGAAACTGAAGACTTTGGAACTGGCTGGTGTGGCTCAGTGGATTGAATGCCAGACTGTGAGGGAAAGGGTTGCCGGTTCGATTCCCAGTCAGGGCACAGGCCTGGGTTGGGGGCCAGGTCCCCAGCAGGGGGTGCGCAAGAGGCAACCATACATTGACGTTTCTCTCCCTCTCTTCTTCCCTTCCCCTCTATAAAAGTAAGTAAAATCTTTTTTTTTTTTTTAAAGGAAAGCTTTAAAAGAAGACACTCATACCACAGACTTATAATAATAAAACAATTCATAGAACAGTATGTTACTAGGATGCCTGAAGATCTTTCCCAATAAATCCCCCTGGACCAATATATCAAATTTGTGGCTCTGGAGGTATGTAACTTTTTTTTTTCTGTAGGGCTTTTAACTGTAATATTCTAATCTTGGCTTCTTCAAAATTGCAGCATACATGATATGTTTATTTTTTTTTATTAAAGTATAGTTGGCATATGATATTATATTAGTTTCTGTATTAGTTTCAGATGTCCAACATAAACATTTATGTTATCTTACGATGTGGTCACTGTAAGTTTAATAACCACCTATCACCGTCCTTTCAGGAAAAATAAAATAAAACCAGTTGTTCTCTGACGGCCAGAGCCTCTATGTGACCCGATTCTGTTAAGCTCTGATTAGTTATGGTCCAGATAAATGTATTTAACCACTCAGATAGATACTGAGTTTAGTATATGCAACCGGGCTCTTGGTATGAGGGTTTCTAGGACCTCAGACGAAATGTGAATTTAGCAAATTCAGTTGGACTTTGTAGAAGAGAGGCCATCAAATTCTGATTCTGTCACTTGGAACATAAATTATGTAGAGCTGGATTTGGTAGACATTCCATAAACCTGGCCTTCATGTATGTCACCAAGGCCTAAGACACAACAGATCCTTAATAAATGTTCATGATATAGGGATACTGGTTTTGAAGAATATTGATGTACTTTTATATTAAAGATTATTTTATTTATTTTTAGGCAGAGGAGGAGGGAGAAAGAGAGGGAGAGAAACATCCATGTGGGGTTGCCTCTCACGCGCCCCCTGCTGGGGACCAGGCCCGCAACCCAGGCATATGCCCTGACTGGGAATCGAACCGGCGACCCTTTGGTTCGCAGGCCAGCACTCAGTCCACTGAGCCACACCAGCCAGGGCTTTTATCTTTTTAAGATATATTCATGCATGAGATTTTCCATATTTTGCTAGATGTGCCCATTTTTCTCACCGTTTGCCTTCCCTGTGTGCATGTGTAAAGGATTAGGATTGTAGCAGAAACGCAATAAAGATGTGAAATTTAAACCGCTAGCACATAGAAGAGGAATTTTCCCTAGTGTGTGTGGCAGGCAATAGTCTTGGAAAACAAGTATTGTCAAGAGAGTAAAAAAAAAAAAACAAACAAATGCTAAAACACTTTTTGAAAGTTTCCTTTGACAGTAGGCGAGGCAGGGCAGGTCGTTAAAACAAGAAGGTCACGCGGTCTGGTCTGCAGACGAGGGAAGAGACGCTGCATGGCCCAGGCTGTGCGTGGCCTCCTATCTCCGGCGACAGAGTCTGTGGTGGAAAGGAAGTCCAACACAAAGAGGGAAAGTCAGCGGAAGACCTGGGCCGCTATGTCACGTGACTGCCATCAGAGAAAGAGGACAGAATGATGACAGCCGAGGAAACAGGTTTTATGGCCTTTTTTCCCTCTTCCTGGACTACGATTTTCAAACGCAGCTGAGCGACCGTGGCACCGGGCAACACACGCACCTCTCCTAACAGTCAATACCTGATGGAAACGAAGCGAGCCCTGCCGGACCGTCAAGAAAAGCGGGTTCCATCTCCACTCTCCTGGCCGGGCATTGCTTTGGATAGATCTCCCTACTGCTGACCCCTAGCTGTGACTGGGCCACTGCCGTGGGTCCTTTCATCTTTCCTTTTCCCATTGGCTCACAATCCGACTTGATTTAACACACCAAGCTGTGCTCTGGCGATGAAGGATTATGGGACCCCACTTCTCCATTGATGTGGATGAGGCGTACATTTAAACGCCCAACAGTGGCGGGTGTGTGTTTATTTTTTTTGCAGCATCTCTAGATCTCCATTTGTTCCCTGAAAACTCAAAATGTCTATAGCCCTCTATTTAGAATTAAAGACAAGGGCGGGGGGAAAAATAAACAAAGGAGGGAAATTCTAATTTTGTATGTAAATACAGTATTTTACCTATTGGGACAATACAAAAAAAAAATCAATTCAGGCTGGATTTGACAATCTAAAGCCACACCCTTTATAACCAGAAGAAATAGATTTTATTTAAATTCAATCTGTCAAAGTACAAATGTTTTTGTACAACTCAAGTTGTTCTTTTTTGAAAACTTAAAAGGTAATAGTACATTTGATAAGCATCTCTCTGGATTTTTCTTGTTGGTTTCACATACTACAATACAAAGCCTGTTTAAAAGAACATATAGCAGAAATTCTAAAAGTGTGTAATTTGAAAAGTTACTTTCATAAAGAAGTTTTTTTCAACCTTTTGTCTTAAATATTTTTATAATGGGATAAATGCAAATAAAAATTTAAAGGTAAAGTACTACCCAACTAACCTTTTTTGTTGCTTTTTTTAAGTTTCAAAATGTTTATTGTAGTGTGCATATCCTTATCCTTTCCTATGGGATGATTATAACATTAACAGAAAAGCATGCATCGTTACATAAAAGATAAATACAGAAATCACCACGAATGCTGAACATTTTGGTGTTTCCATGTGTTACTCTTGTAGAACACGTCCTCAATTTTACCATACTTCAAAAATCGATTTTGGAAACTTGTTAAACTTAATGGTAGGTGTTGACAGAGTTCACAGAAATGGTTGAAGAAAATATTAATTTCTGTACAAGTGAGGCCTTGATGCTTTAAGCAGAGGTCACAGTTTCTATCAATATGATAAATATTCACTTTATTATTGTATAGATTGTGCATATGAAGTTACAGTCATGTTTTACTTGTAACACATCTAACAAGACAACATGGTAAGGGAGACCAAAGTTATATGTGTGCTTTGGAAGATGGTGCAGTAAGAGTGAATTTGTGAACATTTTCACATTCTGTGATCATCATAACGAATTATGCCAATGAGTTTTTCATGTGTTTTCTTTTTCTTCACCAACACAGTAAAAGTTTTCCTATTCATAGATGTGAGGTATTATTCAGCCATTTGAGATATTGTTTGAATAAGAGAATGATGTCTTACTGAAAATCGGACTTCAGATTTTAAGCTTTAGAGGTTCTCTTTTATTTTAGTTACGGTCCAGATAGTAGAGTACCTTTTTTCTCCCCCAAAATAGGAACTATTTTTAATTTCTCAGATTCTTAACTTAAAAAGTAGCAATGCTTTTTTAACCTTTCATACCTTGGCCACTGTTAATTTTCTTTAAATATTTTGAAGTAATGAGGCGACACTCAGAGAAGTAGATTTACCAGCTGTAAAGACAAATGCACTTAACACCTATATGTAATGCATGTTTAACATTGGCTTTGGCTTCACAAAGGAGAGCAATCACACCTACATATTAAAATGACACAAGAATTTTCATGTTTGATTTCTAATTGAAGGAAAGAACACGTTGTTTCCTCCTCTCTTCTTCCTGCTCTATTTCTTCAAATTATCCAGTTTTCTTCCCTTTGAGGAGATGGCTCTATGGTAGCTTCACCAACACAACACAAGCACCAGCTCTTCCAATGTTAACAGGGACTTCCTAACACAAAAAACAAAACAAGGGAAGACGGGATGTTTGAATGGATTCTGTGTTTAGCATAACAGAGCATATTGCAGTTGATGGATTCCTCAGCTGCTCTCGTCTGTCCTTCACTTTGCATAAAGACAAGGGAAAATGTCACCCAGGTTCAATGTGATAGAAAAAACACAGCCTTTACAATGATGTGATGGTGAGTAAATTTCACATCTCTGGTAATTTTTTCCACTTGAAAAATTACACCGGGCAATTCTTATGCTTCAAGGTTTGTGGTAGAAAAATGACAGCTAACAACACTTATCCTTTAAGGTTTTATTAGAGCTAAGTTCAAGGTAAAGAGATAATAAATGAAAATAATTTGGCATATAGTAGTTATAATTCCATTATGATGTGTTAGTTCTCTTTCACTCTTTCCAACATCACACAGTGAAACAGTGAAAAGCCAGGAATAGAATCTAGGACTCTTAGGTGCTGGTCTACAGTTTTTAGAAAAGTAAATTGCATCAGCTTGAAGTCATTTTGATTATTGCATTTGACCTAACTCCTTGTTTGCTAAATTCTTTTCTTCCATTTCTAGCTGGTCCCAAGCAGTGAAACTACCAACATGGCAGAATTTGAATGATTCCAAGGGTTCTAATGAATCTCTCTGTAGAAGAGATAGAAACCCACTGTCAGCTATAATTGCATTAATATATATTTTACAATAGTAACCAGCTCACTATGTAGAATACAGAGTAGCATGAAGTCAGTCAGTATAAGGGAAAGTGAAGTTAGATACAAAATACAAGGTTTGCCTCCATGATAATCGTGAAGAGTTAATCATATCTTCATTTTTATTAAGCCATAATTTAATTAACAAAACTCCATTAGATATTTTGGGATAAATTTAGATCTATCACTGAAAAAACTGTCAAAAGCATCTACTTTGCATTTAACATCCTTATCATTTCTGCTGTTAGATGCCCAGTACTCTTGAGAAGGGTTAATTCCAGTCTCTTAACTGGGCATTAAATTCCTTGAATGACTGATTAAAAGTTAGTTATGGAAGTTTATACAATCTCTATGAGGAGGAGATGGAAATATTTCTCTCCTTGGGCACCAGCTGATGAGAAAGGGCAGATATTGTGGATGGATATTGCTCTTTGGTTCTCAGGTCTTCACAGAATACATAGGAAGTTGGCTACATAAAAAAGCTCTTGAGCTATTGAATCTGATTCACTGTTCTGTGAAATACCTGATAACATAAGGTCAAGAGATTGCTCTGCTCCCGTCCATATAAGTGATGAGGGATCTTTAAGCTAAGGATCAATTAGATCCACTAGTCATTTTCTATAGCACGGACTACAAATTTCGCTGAAACAATCTGGTTAGACCCTGAAGAGGAAGAGAATAGAACAAATTCCCAACACATATAAATATACTTTACGTATACCAAAAGTGTTCCCATTTGAATAGGCGTAATAAGAGTACCTGTTTCCATTCATCTTTCTGCGCGTCATAGGACTCAACGGTATTCAAGTAAGAATGTCCGTCATATCCGCCGACCACAAAGAGTTTGTCGCCCAGAGCGCACACAGCAACAGCGTCTCGCGGGACACTCAGAGGCGCCACGGTGGACCACGAATCATGCTTTGGGTCATACCTTAAGGGGTTTAGGGACACAATTGAAAGGGGAAGTCCAGTAGTGTTAAAATTAAAAATAATAGGTTTTTATAAAATGTATACTTATCTAAGACAGGGAATTAAAATAGCTTATAAATATCAAGTGTAGTCTGACTAATAAATGTAAAAGATAAGCACATGACAAAATTCTCTTCAGCCCCCACAGGTCACTCGAAGCATAGCAAAAATGTATTCTCTTGCTAAAAGAGCACGCATTTGGTTGGTTGGTACTCAGAATCCCTATGAGGAGATTTCACTTATTAGCATCTTAACATTATGTGAAAAATGCCTGCTCTCTCATTATTCTTTCGTTTTTCTCTTATTCTCTGTGTAGCAATGTTATAGATCGAGATGTCTGGTTCTGTTTATATGAGAGCTCACATTGTAAGTCAATCTCAATATCATTGCTTTTTAGTTTTATAGAATGTTGTATTCTGGTCTTAATGCTATTTGCGGTTAGAGTGATCATAGTCTTATCATGTATTTTTTTTCCCTATTTATCTTTGCAGGAGCCTAGGATTTTTTCCATTTTGACCTGCAGTTAACTCTTTATACCCAATCCTTTCTCTAAACAAAATGAAAAGCAATTCAGTAAATAATGTTAAGTAAAATGTTCTCCATGAATTCTGCCCTAAAATGTAAAGCCTATGTTTTTCAAAACAACATAACTAAAATCTAAATGAAGTGAACAGTAAAAGAAAACTCATATAATTGTACATGGAAATACCCTCTGATTTCATATTGGCCTATTTGTAAAATCCAATACTAAAGAATTATTTTACAAAAGAGAATGAATTTATTAGCCTCTATGGATTTCCTTATATTTCTATTACCTCTCTTATTTATGTTTTAATCTCTTTAATGATACTTGAAATTATCGGATCCCAACTTCCATTTGAACTTGGCCTCATACCCAGTAATATTTTTAATACTGTCTGAGATCATCAATAATTAAGATAACCTCAATATCCAGTGCCTATTGGTGAGTATCACACAGCATATCGACTTAAATTCTGATGTTCTCATAAAACCCAAAACCAGAAAACCCACAGCTGTGTGCTTAGCTCAGCTGAGTCTTCAACACAATGGCTACTGTTGTCTCTGGGGCCACAGTCAGCACAAGAGGACACACATGTTTGAGTAGTCAGCCGGAGCTCATAAAAAGATATCCTTAGAGATTTGCAACCACAACTCAAGACTGTCATGCGTGTGCCTGATAATTAATACAAAAATGCAGCTAATGTTAATTTTATCCTGATACTGCATGATTAAAAAGAGGGGAATGTTGAATCTTCTGAAGAAAAAAGTTATAATATGGTTATTATCTGTAAAGAAACACAGGCGAAGTTATTAAAGAAAATATTAGTCACTACATCGCTTTCAAATTCAAATAGCATCATGTCTCTCCCTTTTTGTTTCTCTTTTGCTTGTCTATCTCTCCTTACTTTGGAGAGACATGTATAAATTATAAATATATTATAATGGAACTGAAATGGAGCCTGAAATAAGAGAATGAGTTATAAACTTATTCCTCCACTATGATAAATTAAGGATGATTTGCTTGACTTCTTTGCCTCCATTTCTTCATCCACATTATAGAAATAGTAATCCTTGACCTAACCAAGATAAGTTTATGTAATGATTTTACAAACATTTCATTTGAATGATTATCTTAATTGGATAAGATGCCTAAGGTACCGGGTAGATAGCTGATTCCACTTTGGATTGAGTTTCTACTGATAAGCCCATTTTACGTCTCTATAGGTCTAGAAGTTAAGTTGTAGAAAACTGAATTTTCTTGCAATTCTCGTACATAACAATGCAAATGAATTTTGCTTTATAGAGGTAGAATTGATAATTTTCAGCATGTAGAATTGATGACTCTCACACATTAAAGTCCTTATAGGACGTTAACTGCCTTTGCAACCATTAACAATGTTTTCATCCTACCTAATTGTCTATATGTTGTTTCTTCTAAGGCTCTGTTGAACTGGATTTAACATCTTATGGGTTACTTCATTAATTAATGAATCACATAAAATCTATGACATATTAATTTTATCTTTGTATGGAGGATAGACCACATGTTAAGCCCCCAAACAAGTCTGAATACAGTTAAAAAGGTTGAAAACATGCAATGTCTTTTCACAATGGAATTAAACTATAAATCAGCAGCAGAAGGGAAACTACAATATCTACAAATATATGGAGAGGAACAAACACATGTTTAAACCACTGATGGTTTTGGTTGTACTTTTCCCTATGCATTCATTTGTATGTTTACAAACTACAAATTCTACTTACTCCACTTACTCCATGAATTTCTTTTGAAGACACCATCACATAATGATCTCTGTCTTCTGAATTCTAGTGATTGTACTGGCTGTAAATTTGTCACTTGGTCTTACGATAATATTATCTTACTATTATGTTTGCACGTATATTTTCTATCTTGAAAGGGAATGTAAATGGTATCACTACCAAGTCATATGACTGACATTATTTTTAAGAAACTTATCATATTTTTTCCATTTAAATGAATGTTTCCCATTGAAAGAAATTACCTTTGGGAAATTAAACAATACAATGGACTCATTTTTCACAATATTATTAACACCTCCCTGAGGAAATTCCTTCTGTGCAATATGTGGTGGTATCCTTATCTTTTGATGATTGATTTGAATTTTCAAACAGTAAAGTCATTTTGATTTGAGCTGGTGAATAGGGTGAGTGATATCGCTTGGCATAAGATTTCTTTACTCTTATATCCCTTTTGTCTTATTACTTCATAGGTGACTATCAAACAATAAAACAGAATATTCTTTTCATATGTTTCTTTTGATGGCTCTGAAACACATAAGGAGGAGGATTTCTTCAGAATATTTTGAGACTAAAGGCAAGTGTGCAAGTTTAAAAAGGATTGATTCTCTGAAAAGATTAACACTTAGTTGGAAAACTACTTCTGGCAGTCTAAAAATATTTCTCATTTCTGAAATGAATAACCCAATAAATACATACATAAATAAAACAAAAACTTTTTACCGTTCCACACAGTCGGAGAGCCTGGAGCAATGGTTAGAAGCAGGGGCATCATGACCTCCAATAACATATAAGAATCCGTTGTATGTTGCGACTCCCACACCTCCACGTCTTTTGGACATTGGAGCACAGAGACTCCACTTGTTAGTGTGTGGGTCAAAGTATTCCATTGATTTGAGACAGGAACTTCCATCACGCCCACCGATAGCGTATAGCCTAGAAAAAAAAAGACACGCACATACATAATCTCCAATGTGAGCACAGAATGAACGTGAAAGAACCTTGCACAAAACGTTTTAGGTTTTTGACTATACGGGGTGGGGCCCAGAAATAAACCCTCCCATTTATGGTCAATTAATATTTGATAAAGAAGGTGAGAGCATGCAATGGAGCGAAGACAGTCTCTCCAATAAGTGCTGTTGGGAAAATTGAACAGGTACATGCAGAAATATGAAACTTGGCTGGTATCTTATACAAGAATAAACTCAAAATGGATAAAAGACTTAAGTCGTTGCAAAACTATAGAAATCCTAGAAGAAAACATAGGCAGGAAAATCTCAGATATCGCGAGTAGCAATACTTTTGCCAATATATCCCCTAGGGCAGGGGAAACTAGGAAAAAATAAACAAATGGGACTACATCACATTAAAAATCTTCTCCACAGCAAAGCGAACCATCAATGAAATGAAAAGGGAACCCACTGTGTGGGAGAACATATTTGCCAATGATACATCTGATAAGGGGTTAATCTCCAAAATATAAAAAGAACTCATACAACTCAACACTAGAAAGACAAACAACCCAATTAAAAAACTGGCAAACCATGTAAATAGACACTTCTCCAAAGAGGACATACAGAGGGCCCATAACAGATGAAAAGATGCTCAATGTCACTAATTTCAGAGAGATGCAAATTAAAACCACAAGGAAATACCACCTCACACCTGTCAGAATGGCCATCATCAATAAATCCACAAACAACACGTGCTAGCGAGGCTGTGGAGAAAAGGGAACCCTGGTTCACTCTTGGTGGGAATGCAGACTGGTGCAGCCGCTGTGGAAAACAGTGTGGAGTTCCTCAAAAAATTAAAAATGGAACTGCCTTTTGACCCAGGGATCCCGCTTCTGGGAATATATTCTAAGAATCTTGGAACACCAGTTTGAAAGACTATATGCACCCCGATGTTCATTACATTGTTCATTACAATAGCCAAGATCTGGAAACAGCCCAAGTGCCCATCAGTAGATGAGCGGATAAAAAAGCTGTGATACATTCACACAATGGGATGCTACTCATCCATAGAAAGAAGGAAATCTTACCTTTTGCGACAACATGGATGGGCCTGGAGATTATTAAGCTAAGGGAAATAAGCCACAGCGACAGAGGGGAGGGGGCTGGGGCCTGGGGGCTGGGTGGAGGTGGGAAAATGGGGACGTCCCTTGGCAAATGACGTACAGAGAAATATTGAAAACATCGGCAATGTTGGTCAGTTATACCTCATTAAAAGCTGGAAATGAGAAAAACGAAAAGGTAGGATGTTTTCAAGGACCACCTTCAGCAACCTTACAATTTATCTACGTTCAATGGCCTATCATTAGAATCCCTGTTGTTTTTCTGAGCTACTTTATTTAGTAAAAATAGACATTTGTCAGTAGGAATATGTTAACTTGAAAAATGACTAAGGGAATAGAATCGAACCTAGAAACCAATTTTTTTTTCTGAGAAACATATATTAGCTATGACATTTCTCCCATAAACTTGAAAAATGTCAATTCTTTCTAATAGCAATGCTTGTTAACCTAGTTTACATTTAATTCTGCATCAATAAAGAGGATAAACATTTTCTCGGCCCTACATCTACAACTGCCATTCATGTTCAGTTGTGAACAATAGCAAAGCAGCAAAACAAAATTAAAATAGTCAAATTGGATTATTTCGGCCTGTTCCGTAAAGATAGTAATTGGTAGGGGATTGTTACTGAATCACCTGATAATCTTCAGGTCAGGCAGAGATATTTTCAGCTCTCGGACACTGTAAGCTGAGGTGTCCCCTTAACTCTAGACATTTCTTACTTTTCTTGCATAAGGTGCTAAAAACTATCTGATGTCTGAATTTCCTATCATCCAAGTCCCTCCTATATGCTGGTCATCGTCTCCAAAGGCCTCTTGACAGAAAGCACACATCATTAAAAATCAGGCTTCTAACAACCTCTAACTGCACTGCGTTTTAAGATATTAGCTTTCTCTTACAGGCAAGCGATCAGGAAGAGGGAAAGATTCACAATGACGGGACTGTATACCATCCTAGTGTTGGGAACCCTAAATACTCAGGAGAGTGCGCGGTAAAGAACAAAAAAAAATTGCCCTATTACCGAGACAGGCCAAAGTTTTGCTAAGTCGAGAATAAGTTAAGCAAGGAATAAGTGCAAGTTTCTTGAGGGCAAAAGTGGGACTGGTATAAACGCAGAAGTGCTTCTCAAATTTCCTGTGCGCACAGCTCACTTGAGGACCTTGTTGAAATGCCCCTTCTGAGTCAGTAGGTCTAGGATTCCGCATTTCTAAATAGATCTCAGGTAATCCTGACGCTCGCAGTCTCAAGACCACACTTGAATAGTAAGGGACTACAGGATATTTAATTCAATGTTCATCTTAGACAACTATGGGGTTGGCCAAAAGTCTGTATGGTCTTTTCTGTGAAATAAAAGACACGTTTTTTATTTTCACCAATAACTTTATTGACTTAGATATTTTGAGCATGTCGGCTCTCTCCTGCTATTGGCTTCTAGTGGGAAGAAGCCAGGGAGGCTGCTAACCATCTTCCAGTGCATAAGACAGCCCCACAGCAAAGAATTATTTGGCCAAAATGTCAACAGTACGAGCAAACTTCACACACCTCTTTGACACGTTCTATCCGTCACAGCACCTTCTCCATACACTGCACACATCTTTTTTTGCGTTTCAGTTGCATTCTTACCTTTCTTGAAATAATAAAGCATGATAGGCCGAAAATGTTGCGTATCTTCTTCCAGCTTCATATTCAAATAGCTGCACAAAAATCCCCCAATTTTTATAAGTTTTTTTTTTTTTTTAATGCACGCTGATACGGCAGCTGTCCCAATACAATCTAGCAAAACTGTTTCAAGTGAAGTAAAAACAACTGAGTGCTACTGGAGCCATCATATGGAGAAAAGGTAACAAGACATTTTGGCCAACCCAATACTTGCATCACGATGAAGGGAGGGTTCCAATAAAGGCCTTTTATGACGGATAACTGGGGTATTGTGGCCACTGGGAATGCTTATCGGTTGATGGCTCACACCGCTCAAGTCCTAAGAAGAAAGCCCATGCACGTTTTGCTTTACTCACTTGTTGTTTAATGCAACAACACCCACTGTGCTTCTGGGGGTTGACATACTGGCCACGTAATTCCACTGACGCCCCTCCGGATCCCATCTTTCTACGGTATTCAGATAGCTCCATCCGTCATGACCGCCAACAGCATACATTGGTCCTTCCAGCGTGGCTACACCTAAAGGGTGAACAACCTCATGAGCATGCACCTAGGTATGACGCTTATAATCGATATTCTTTCATTGTGCAAACAACTAACTGCTTAAAATTTGTTTTGGTTTTTTTTTTAAAGATTTTATTTTATTTTTAGAGAGAGGGGGAGGGAGGGAGGAAGAAAGAAAGAGAGGGAAACAAACATTGATGCAAGAGAGATGTTGCCAACTGGGGACCTGGCCCGCATCCCAGGCATGCGCCCTGATTGGGAATCGAACTGGTGACCCTTTGGTTCACAGGCCGGGACTCAATCCATTGAGCCATGCCAGCCAAGGCTATTTTTGTTTGTTACATGATTTTGTGTGCACATGGATAATTTACTGATCTTGATATGAAGCTCAATAAGGTCTTTTATCCCTAGGAAATTTTTAGGCATGGTTACCATTAGTATGGGAGGGTATCATCGTTGTAGAACTTAAGTCAAAAGAGGTAGTGGAACACGCCATATCTGGGGATGTGATAGAAAAGGGAAGCTGATTTTTTGAATTTTTTAAAAGATCTTATTTATTTATTTTTAGACAGAGGGGAAGGGAGGGAGAAAGAGAGGGAAACAGCCATGTGTGGTTGCCTCTTGCATGCCCCCTGCTGGGGACCTGGCCCACAACCCAGGCCTGTGCCCTGACCGGGAATCGAACCGGCGACCCTTTGATTTGCAGGCCGGCACTCAACCCACTGAGCCACACCAGCTAGGACAGGAAACTGATTTTTTTTCTGGCATAAGTTCAGTGCCATTTTTTTTTAATTTAAGAGGTAGGTGAGATATGATGTGGAATCTTAGATAAATCTTAGTAGGCTAACTGTGGTAGGTCTTCCTAATCTGTGCTCTTCCACTGATAAAAAAAAAATTCTCATCAGATAACTAAATAGACAGGGTTTTTGAGGAATAATTAGAAATTTGTTTTATTAGATACTATAAATATCCCCTTTCTAACTGCTTGTCGTCTGCTCCAGAAATGCATGTAATTTTTACCTCTCTACTAATGTCAACAGATTTAAAAACTTGCTCTGATTTCTCTGTGAGATATACTTTCTAATCTGTGTCTAGGAATTACTGACACAACTGAGCTGAAGACAGAATTAATAAATCTACCATTTACCACTTGACATAGATCGTTTATGAGATAATTTGGGGCAAATGGTACCAGACCTAGATCTGCTACTTTTTAGCTGGGTAACACTGAATTCTTAGAAAAGGGAAATTGTTCTGTTTGCTTTAAACAAACTCTTTAACATTGCAAATGTATGAAGCGTAGCATGAATAAAGAAGTCCCCCGACAGATATTCAGGAGAATCAATTTTCCCCACTGTTCCAGAAGTTTCTACTCCACCTTTCTGAAAGTTCTTTGGAACCTCTGGCTTACATATAACTTAGAGCTGTGCTGGACAACAATGTTTGCCCCCAAATACCCCCGCCTTTGATGTGCATCAGAAAGCTTTTTGCACAAATCTAGATTTGTCTATTAGAAGGAGGGACGTGATTCATCTAACTGGAAACAAGGTCTCTGCATTATGAAATGCTCTTTTCACTAAACTGAGTTTAGAAGATATCTCTGTTACAGTTTTGTGTTCCTTGAGAATATAATCCTTCTAAACATTTTCTATCCTTCGTAAAGTGGGACCCCTTTAAAATACCAGTGGAACAGGTACGTAGGATTAACAAGTAAGACGTCTGAAAAAAGAACACAGGTTTAAAGGCTTCAGCCATTTGCTTAAGCTTTTCAGCATTTTGGAGACATTTTGACTAAGGGATTTGCTGCATCCCAATGGCGTGCAGCTGAAATTAATTCCTCAATAGCTCTACTAACTATACAATCCTCATCCACTCATAGAACATGACGCTCTTACCTAAGCCGTGCCTATGGGTCGACATGGGAGGCATCACAGTCCAGATTTTTCCAACTGGATTAAAACATTCCACAGTGTTCAAAGTTTTTAAGCCGTCTCTGCCCCCCACGACATAGAGCTTATTATCAATAACTGCAACTCCAAACTGAAGCCTACGGCCACTCATGGTACCAATATGAAGCCAGCTATTGGTCCTGAGGTCGTATTTTTCGATTGTAGTGGTACCTGTTAGAGGAATGTTGAACAATGATAAAAACCAATTGTATAAAAGATTAATTGGCATCGTTTACATCATATTTGCATACATATTTTTCTTGGCATCAGATTACATATAGCACATATATTCACCCCGCATCTCGTATTTGCATATATGAACATGTGTGACTGGTAATTCTGTATTTTGAATTCTGAAGAGTTCTTCAGCCAATTTGCCCATCTCCGCTATTGCTCCAACAAATCAAAATGTAAATTCTCTAGCTAGGTTTTAAGTATGGCAGCTTTAGATTTAATGGAACACTAACATTTTTTTACTTATCTTTCTCCTAAGGACTCACTATATAATTTTTCTGTGTAAATTATGCTTCTGCCATAAAACATTATATATATTTTTTCTCAATTCATTTCTAAGCTCCCAGTCAATCCTCATGTATGACTCATTCAAGAGGGAACAAAACCATCCAAATTTTGTAGTATTGTTGGGAACAGGATAGTTCCTGTAGTTGTGAATATATCTGATTCAGTGACTTCCTCCATCTATTTTTAAAATAATTTAAAAATGACCGTAGTAGACTTTAATGTGTCCTTTGTTATACTGTCTCTCAGAATTCATTGTGTTTAATAAACAAAATGTTACTGAATACCTTGTATGTGCAATAGCCCAAAGTTTACCATTTGACAATTTTTAACTTTTTACTCTGTTTTATACAACTTTCTTTGGATTCTTTTAATGTTTGTCATAGAGGTTATAGTTAGCCCAAGCCACTTGTGTGATATCTATTTTTAACAAGTAATTCCAAGTCAATTGTATGAGTCAGAGAGGAAATTAAAGACTGAGGAAGTATTGTATTTCCGAAATACCAAAAGGTGAAAGTTCAAAAAGTATCTTTAGAAAAAGATAAATGAAACAAGACACTATAAGAAAAGGCATATAAAATAAAGTTATAGTTTTGTGAAATAATGAGAACTGATTTTTTTTAGTTGTAATATCGATTTATACAGATAAATGCTACCCCCTTAATATTTTTGCTGTACTTAATTATTTTCCTTTTCTTTCTTTCTTTTTTCTGTTCCCAAGTGCTCATCCTGATTTTTCAATAGATTCTGACACCTGCAAAGACAGGGGTCAATTTCTTGTTGTCATTCCTCTTTCCTCTAAAAGAGTGGAAGTATAGCAAAGAGGGACATAGAATTTGAGCGGGAATTCCATTTCCTGCCATTTTTATGTATTTGGCTTTGAGTTGCCTGTTTAACCATAAAGAGCCTTCGTTTCCTCATCTGCAAAATGGGAGCAATAGACACTCTCTCGTAGCTTGATTGTGAGCATTAGAAACAATGCTTGCAAAATCCCAGTCAAGGATCAAATACTCAAAAACAGCAGTTCTCACTGTTACTGTGGTGGTCTGCAGCTCCCAGAGAGCCTCGTATGTCTCCATCCACTAGATACTTAGCCAATCTCAAAATGTAAGTATCAAACCATGGCCAAAGAATCACGGGATTGTAGGCATGCATCTCACTCATTTTGAGAAACTTATATATATTACTACTTACTACTATGCATTTTTTAAAATTTTGGTATAGTTGGTATACTATATTACATTAGCTATATTCGTTTCAGGTGTACAATATAGAGATTAAACTTTTCTATACCCTACAATGTGATCGCCACAATAAGTCTAGTAACCGTCTGTCACTCTGTAAACTTATCACAATACATTGACTATATTCTCCCTCACTGTCTTCACCTTTTACCCTACTAGTGCCCTCCTCTCTGGTGACTATCTCTTTGGTCTCTGTTTTTATCAGCATTTTTTTTGTTTTGCTTTGTTGGAGCATTTGTTCGGGAGATTTTTTAGTTCCACATATAAGTGAAACCATAGAGTACTTGTCTTTTTCTGTCTGATTTGTTATCATTTTTGTAACACATTCACTTATGCAATGTTAACTTCAGCAGGAACCTGTAAAAGTAAAGAAACAAAAAAACCCATAAAAACCAAACAGATAAACCCAAAATTTTCCATTTCTCACTTTGTAGGTTAGGCTTTTTTAAAAAAAATCAGAAACTAAGGATAACTATGCTTGCATGTTGTATTTAGTCCTTTTTTTATTTTAAATATGAAACGAGACACATGTTAAAAGGCTGTTATCATTCATTCTATTCAACAAAATGCAATAAAATATCAAGTTGCCAGACTTGAAATTAATTATAGGACCTCACTGTATTTATTTTCTGAAGAACATTAGTTCTGTGAAGATACTCTAGTACTTTGGAAATAATTACATTTTTAAACTCATGTTTTATAGTTTTAAGATTAATTGGCATATATCTTATAAAGTTTTCCAATTTCCAGTTGCACATGTCAGAAACAAATCAGTTTTACTAACACAGAACTTTGACTCTTGCATCATTTTCTGCAGTTGTCAAATGACATTTTTATGTGTAATTTGGCAAATTTTAAGTGGACCGGTTTGATTTCCTATCCAGTGAACTCTTAGTTACAGACGCCTTGCCTTATTGTTTTGGCAACATAAGGGGCTACACAGACTGAGAAATAGTGTAAAAAAGGTAGAGCTATAGAAAAATTTGTTCTAAGAAGGGTGCAGCGTAGTATATAGGCTTTAGAAACTGTTCCCTACTCCATTTGATAAAATTCTTATGTAAAACCACTACTTTATTCCAGGTGTGAATTTCTGATCTTGTTATCAAAAATTCAAGGTTCTTTTCAACTGGTCTTTGAGCCTCTATCAAAAAATTGATAGCAATGAGTTAGGTGCCGATATTCTATTTCTGTCACAAAACAAACTTGGAGGACCTTGACCCTTCTTCTTCTCTTTTTTTTTTAAAGATTTTATTTATTTATTTTTAGAGAGAGGAGAAAGAAGGGAGAGAGAGGGAGAGAAACATCCCTGTGTGGTTGCCTCTTGCGTGCCCCGTACTGGGGACTTGGTCTGCAACCCAGGCCTGCGCCCTGACTGGGAATCGAACTGGTGACCCTTTGGTTTGCAGGCTGGCACTCAGTCCATGGAGCCACAACAGCCAGGGCTCGGCCCTTCTTTTTATAATAAACCTTAGACAGGTTTTCCCTGAAAATATCTTATATTGCAAAGTGAATATTCAAAATTAAAAAATCTTCTGCCATAAAATTACCTCTTGATAGCTTGGCCAACACCAGTTAAAAGGTTATATCCCATAAGGTAAGAAAAAAGGGTGACAAAATTACTGTACCCTATTTATGCAAATTAGCTTTAGAAGCATACATTTAAATATGGCTTTAATATACTACCCTCCTCATTTCAAAGAGGATGAGAATTCATACCTATTCTTTGAATGATACTTTCTAAATTAATTTGTTTGTTACCTTTCATGGAGTCCATGCCTCCCACAGCGTAAAGCGCCCCCACAGTTGATTTTCTGGGCTTCGTCCGAGGGCTCTGCATCATGGGCCTTCTCTCAGGTAAGAGATGATACTTCATGGCTTCTATCAGGAGTTTCTGACACTGAAGATCAGCGCGAAACATGGCGCTGTTTTCTAGATCTGCCAGTAACTGTGAAGTAATGATACATGGAGTATGGAGTGAGGAGCTCACCAGTAGGAAGGACACATTTTTGTTTCTATAACTTTGGAGAAAATACATGCTAATTTAAATGTAGAAATGTTATTATTTAATATTTTAACTTATTAGTAATATACTTTATGTTTATGTACAGCATGTGGCTAGAGAAGCAGTCGCGTTTTTGGTGGATGTAGAGGAGATGCTCCTGACATGCCCAGTGAAAATAAAATAATATCACCGCTAAGGGGCTGCATCTTGATTGGCAAATCACTCCTGGGAAGTATTGCAAATGTAGGTCTCTTTTTTTTTACAACTTTGTAGGTATATGTGGACATCAGTAAAGCACTTGCGTTAGTGGTACCAACATATCAGCGCTAAGAGACAACTAATCCTTTCTAACCTTTACTCCCTGGTGGTCAATGAGACGCTATGGAATGGGGAAAGAACTACGTAAAGCTTTTTTCCTACGATGAGCTGCCAAGTTAAGCATTTGTTTCAGAACTTTGTCAAGGGTCACTTAGACTGAGTTCTTGGAGTGCTGGGTCTACTGCGTCACAGGGAGGCAGAGCCAGCAGCTGGCTCTCACTCCACCTGCCACGTCCGATAGGTCACTGCTCTGCGTTGGCCTCAGAGACCCCAGCCATTTCCTTAAAATAGGTTTGAACATCAGGTTATATTGTTGTTGTGTTTTGTTCCCCAAAAAGATTCTTCAGAGATTCATGACCATTTAAAAAGACATTTGATTTCTAGAATATTTGCTGAAGTCTCTTGTAAAATTGTTCTGGGAGTTTCTGTTCTGTACGCCATCGGGGGTGGGAGGCCAAGGTGCCATGGGCTGTGTGTTTGGGCTGGAAATTTCCCCTCATTCTACTGAAGTCAGAGAAGTTCAAACTAAGCATTTTCCCAAAAGAATGTCGTGTAGACTTAAGGCATCGCAAAGTTAAAGGTATCTGAGCTTCCTTAAGAGTGCATCTTAAATGTTTGCATGTCATAAAATCATCTGGGGAACTTGTTAAAACACAGAGTCCTCAGCATGACCCCCAGAAATGATTTCACTTGGTCTGCGGCGGAAAGAGACTGAGCGTCTGACAAGTTCGCGGGCAGCGCTATGCTGCCTGGCCCGGCCCATCTGGGGAATTCTCTGCCTTAGAGAACCTGAGAAATCAAACTGAGCATCTCACAGATATATACGCATTCACACAAACACATACAATTGCTACAGTTGAAGCTTGGGTCTGAAATGACATACAGACATTAATAGTTTCTCTTCTTGATGTTACTCTGGCCTTGCCCTTGGCTTGGACGCCACTGCTAGAGAGGCTGCCGTCTAAGCTCACTAAACTTCACACACTAACCTTCAGCGAATTGGGTCAATCCTGCATCTCATCCATGGGTGTTTGTTTTAGAATCATTTTTACTATAATCCTTCAGCATCCATGACGGCGATGCCATTAGAATGACGCTTTGGCAGCCACGGGTGTCCAACCCACGGCCCGCGGGCTGCATGCGGCCCAGGATGGCTGTGAATGCGGCCCAACACAGCATCGTACACTTACTTAACACACGATAACGTTTGTTGGTGATTACGTGACACAACGTGTTTAACGTGTGGCCCAAGACAACTCTTCTTCTTCCAGCGTGGCCCAGAGACGGCCAAAGGTTAGACACCCCTTGCTTTAGTGCATCTGAAACTACTATAGCATGTTTTCAATCACAATAGCTAATTACCCAGGTTAGTAGCTATTATCCAGATTCTAACTCCCTTCTAAAGTCTCCTCTTTTACTGATTATTATCACCTTGCCTGGAAAGGGGGCGGGGAAAGACAAAGTGAGAATTTCCTGGTGAGAGGAAACTGAAACTAACGAGTGTGCTAAAGATGGGGATTCTCTGTAATTTTCTCATCTCTGTTTCCTTTCTCTTTACCCTTCATATTGCTAATAGAAGGCTGGATATATTCTTCTGCAAAACAAATCCCGTACACTTTGCGTTCCCAGAAACCCTCCGAATACAAGACAATGGGGACGGGCCCAACGCGTAACGGTAACGACACGGCCGGCAGCTTTCCGTACCTGCGGCGGCAGTAAGGGCAGCCTGATGTACGAGAGCAGCGTGGCGAGCTCTTGCTGCCTGGACTGCACATCATGCCCCACCCACTGCATCAGAGCGTGGAAAATGGTTTCTTCGTCGGGTACGTTAATGTCGTCGCTGCACAGAAGCTTGGAGATTTCATTAGCCGGCAGCAGGAGGAATTCTTGGTTCTTTATGACCTCGATGAAGTGCTCCTAGAAAGGAAAGGTCATCTGCTGACACTTTGTTCCTTTAGAAACTTAACAAAATAAGCATATCAAAGATTTTCCCGTTGCTAAACTTCACGATAGGCCAGAGGGACAGATAGACGCATTTACAACAAATAGGTGCTATTGTTGCCTATGGCGAGGGGCATGGGGAAGCCTTCTGAAGCAGAAAAGCCAAATAATTTTGACTGGAAATTATTTAAGAACCCAAGGAAAGGCCTTAATTACTTCAGAGCTCCTGTGGATAGTGCGCAAGCTGATATGAGCGCTTATCTCTCTGAGCTGTTGCAGGCGACAGTATATAACTCCAGAAATGCCCGATGTCACGTTGGTCTTTAGCCACACATCTCAAGATAAAAGCTGAAAAACTTCAGGTTGTAGGTTTTCTTTTTTTTTTTTAACCTCTACTGGAAGATATGTTTATTGAGTTTAGACAGGGAGGAAAGGGGGTGGGGAGAGAGAGAGAGAGAGAGAGAGAGAGAGAGACATTGATGTGAGAGAGAAACATCAATCGGTTGCCTCCTGGAAGTGCCCTGACTGGGAATCAAACCCACAACCTTTTGGTGTATTAGATGATGCTTTAACCAACTGAGCCACCCGGCCAGGGCAAGTTATAGGTTCCTTGAATGCCTAAGACAGGTAGCACTCGCTGTACATGTAGAGAACAACATACTGAATTTCTTTTCTTAAAATTTTCAAACAATATTTTTATGCTAGTATAGTACTGCTTTTTCCTCCATTCCCACCTCCATACTAAATTTCTTTGAGATAGAAAAAAAAAAAAGCGTGATGCAAAACACTTTTCTCTTATGGAAAAGTGTGGTCTTCTGTTAACCAAGGCAAGGGTGCCTGTAATGATGGATAAAAATCTACAGTTTCAGAGTAATTGGAAAGGGTCTTCAATGGATTTTTTGGGGGGTGGTATGGGGTTATCTTTCAATTTTTACATATGATACCTCAATTTTCCCTTCGGTCAGTGTGTTGCCTTGTATTTTATCAAGCATCAAATTTCAGACAGCTGTGTTTTAATTATTTTGTTCACTGAAACGCCACTGTATTTTTCTTTTGATTTATAATGTTATATATTTTTCTTTGGCAACACAATGATCATTTACAACATTATTTTATAGTAAATATCTCAATTTTTAAACACAAAGAAAAATGTTTCTCAAATGAAGAGAAACGTGCCTAGTTGGTCATTTATGTTGTACAATAGAGATATTCTGGAAGCGGCTGAATAACTAGGAGGTCTGGATAAATCGTATCAGTTTCTCATCTCCACCCTGCCTTTAGTCGTTGTAGAACTGAGTTAGACTGATAGCCATTATCCATATAACTTTAATCACATGTGACAGACCCATCAGGAAGATCTGATACCATAAATTCCAAGTTAACTTGCCTATTTAGACAAACTGCCCTCTTGTGATGAAGGCACGTGACTGAGAGAGCACTGAGGTTCTTACTGCAGCTGATGTCCCTGGCTGAAAAGCCTCTAACCTATTGCAAAATAATGGAGCTAGCCTGACGAATAATAATACATCACACATGAATAGCACTACACTCACCAGAGTTCTTTCAAAATTATCGTCATCACTAATGCGGTCTTATGGGAAGTGGAATTATTCTGATTTTAAAGATTTTATTTATTTATTTTTAGAGAGGGGAAGGGAGGGAGAAAGAGGGAGAGAAACATCCATGCGTGGTTGTCTCTTGCACGCCCCCTGCTGGGGACCTGGCCCGCCACCCAGGCATGTGTCCTGACTGAGAATCGTACCAGCGACCCTTTGGTTTGCAGGCTGGCACTCAATCCACTGAGCCACGCCAGCCAGGGTGGAAGAGGAATTATTCTTATAGGAAAATGGGCTATGTCAATTGTTCAGTCTCCTGTGCAGTAAATGGCAAAGTACAGGCCTATCTTGGATCTATTGCGGGTTCAATTCCAGGCCACCACGATGAAGTGAATACCGCAATAAAGTGAGTTGTACACATTTTTTGGTTTCCTAGTGTGTATAAAAGTTATGTTAAGCCATCCTATAGTTTATTAAGTATGCAAAAGCATTGTCTAGAGAAACAATGAATATACCTTCATCAACATATGTCATTGCTAAAAAATGCTAATCATCATCTAAGCCTTCAATGAGACATAGTTTGCTGTGTATAATGTGCTCATGTGTATAATGCATACCTCCATTTTGGGCCCAAACTTTCAGGAAAAAAAATATTTTTAAATTAATTTTTAATTTGTTAATCCAATCATTTCTTTATATTTAGATGTTTTTTGTATTATAAAGGAATTTTTGCATTTATTTTTGAACATATTATGGTACAAGAAATTTTATGTAACAAATAATTACAAAACACAAGAACAGATACAGGGTATTTCAAGTCCTACCCATGTATCATGTTCATCCTTATTTTTCCTTCAAAAATTTGGGCAAAAAAAGTGTGCGTTATACACGGCAAAATATGGTATGTTTTCTAGCGGAGCGTCTTGCCTCCATGTGAGCGGCTTAAAATCTTAAAATAAGAAAACAGTATGTTCACCAAGAGGAGGTTCCATCTCAAGAAACCACTGTCTCTGTTCATGCACAACAAGTAACTCCTCTTCCATCACGGTTTTATCATGAGATCCGTGCAGTGCAGTCCTATCTTCAGGACCCACTGCTAATTCCAATTCTCCTGCTATTTCCACCTCATCCTCAGTTACTTCCTCCACTGAAGTCTTGAGCCCCTCAAAACCATCCATGAGGGTTGGAATGAACTGCTTCCAAACTCTTATTTTGGTATTTTGACTTCTCCCCATGAATCAGCCCATGTGTAAAACCTACTCAATGGCTAATGTGGGTCCTATACAGTCGATCAAATTGCAGTGTGCATTTGAGAAAGTTAAGAAATGACTGAAGTGATTTATATGATGGTCATATTTAAATATAATCAGAAGTGAGATTTTTTGATAGACTTTCTTATGGTTTCAGAGTGGCTGCGCGATGAGACTATTGAAAATAGCCTGGCAATATAGTAAATTAGTGTAAATAAAAAAAATGTAGTGGTTAAAATTATCTAGACATGGCATTGCAATACCCAGTACTATAAAGAAATATTTAGTTAAGTTAAAGGTTAATTTTAAATTGTTTTACTTCAGAATTCTTTTGCTCCTAACTTCAAGGTAAATACTTTCTCTTATGTACCTTCTCAAGAGTATTTTTTTTTTTTTGTTCTTTTGGTTTGGTATTCATTTTCTCAAACATTGTTCTAAAACTTATCAAATCAATGTATCATACTTGCTGAATTTCTCATCAATGCAGACTACTACTTATATGATTATGGTGGTTAATATTATGCATCAACTTGACTGAGTTATGGACTGTCCAGACTTTTGGCCAAACATAATTCTGGATGTTTCTATGGGGGTGTTTGTGGGTGAGGCCTTCACACATTAGGGAGTCATCTGTTTTATATAGTCTATGATTCAAACAACAGTAATTAAATCGCTGAAATGATTTGCATTTTATACTATCAATACGGTATTACAAAAGCATTATTATAACAAGAACTTTACCGATTTCACTGCATATATAATAGATACTAAAATAACTAAAGAGGGGGGATTTAAGGAAGACAACAATACTGCATTTTTATGTACATCCTGCTTTAAAGCTCTGTTTCAGTGACATAATAGGAAAAGGAAGAGAAGTTAATTTTGAGCAACCAAAAAAAAAAATAATTCAAGCTGTTTACCAGCATGTGTTTTGTCTGCAAAAGTAAGATACCAGACAGGAAACTGTTAATCCTTAGTTCAAGAATTTAAGTAATTTAACAGGAAGTTTTCATGTTTGGCTTTTATGGTGGGATTGACCTTTAACCTACATAACTGCTGATAGTATAGATTATATGGCATTTTGTTTAGGATATAGTAATATAAATAGCATAACTAAATGACATGTGTTAAAAAACCAATCCATTATAACATGATTCTCCACATAATGGCATTGTTTCAAACTTCAAATTTTCAACATTGACCAAGGCTGGAAAGAAGGAGGAGGAAGTTTTACAACAAATTTTTAGAGAATTCAAATATTAAGCCTTTGGACATTTTAAGGGCATGTATAAAACTCTAGAAAAGTAATCTTTATTTATATACATCTCAACCCTAAAATTGTAATGTTAATTTTATGTTACTTTTAGGCATGTTTTTCTCTTCTGTTCACTTTTATGTATCCTACTTGCATTTTAGTATTGAATCTTAAATAAGTGTAGCAATTTTCTTAGCTTGAAGTATTTATCTCTTGATTGGGTTTCACAGAAAGATCTATCTCTTGTGTTGTTTCCTGATTCAGGGATTCAAAAAATTGATTTTCTTTTTTGCATCTGGGATTTATTAGCATTAACAATAAGCGTATGTTTAACATCCTTTGTCTACTTTTTCTTGCCTCACTACAAAGGATATATCTTTCATGTCACTGTTACTTGTCTGATTAAACATAGTTCTATCCCATGCAACTTTCAAAGAATTAACACATATGAGCCCTGGCTGGTGTGGCTCAGTGGATTGAGCACCGGCCTGCGAAGCAAAGGGTCCCTGGTTTGATTCCCAATCAGGGCACAGGCCTGGGTTGTGGGCTAGGCCCGCAGTTGGGGTGTGCAAGAGGCAATCTCTCTCATGCATCGATGTTTCTCTCCCTCTCTTTCTCCCTCCTTTCCCCTCTTTCTAAAAATACATAAAATCTTTCAAAAATAAAAAAGGAATTAACCCATACGAACATGTTTGTTTATTGTAATTATTAATAGAGTTGAGAAGCAGTTTAAGTTAATTAAGTTAAAGGAGTGGACTGCAAATTGCTTTTAAATAAAATACATTTTCATTACGACATAAAACTTCCATTCAATAAAATTGTCTGAATTATTACCTTTGATAGTTCTTAAGCATTCCAGTCAGTATCCATTAACATTATATTTTCTTTATTGAGTGATATTTTCATTAGAAATAATAATTTGTATGAATTCACAAACTAAAGTTCTAATAGTGCAAAAATATTAGGACAAGTATGTTTTCTTAATAGTGTGGATTAGACTTGAAATATGTACTGTACCATTTAATTTTGGGCAATATTTACATTTCTCCATGCTTTGAGATTCAATTCAATCTTTTTGGTTTCAAAAAGGAGGAACTTCCTTGAGTACAGCTCAATGAAATATTTTAATCTAATGTGCATGTTATTTATTAATTATAGGAGTTCATATTGCCTTTTAATTTTATACTATAATATTTACTTGGAAAAGTTTTTTTTTAAGAATTTATTTATTTTTAGAGAGAGGGGAAGGTGGGGAGAAAGAGAGGGAGAGAAACATCCATGTGTGGCTGCCTCTCGCACGCCCCCTGCTGGGGACCTGGCCCGCAACCCAGGCATGTGCCCTGACAGGGAATTGAACCCATGACCCTTGGGTTCTCAGATGGGCACTCAATCCACTGAGCCACACCAGCCAGGGCTGGGAAAGTTTTATACACACCCATACATATGTAGATTTATACACCTATGCATAAACATATATAATACATAAAAGAAGAACAAATCAGTAAGTTAGATATTGGGTTAATACATTATTACTAGAAATTAATTTGAATCAATTGATTTTACCATTGTGTACTTATGTGCCACACTCAGGAGCTCTGTACAGCCCTGGGCATCTCCGAAGGATCGGATCCCCAAGCAGTTTGAAGGATGGAGCTGCTTTATGAGAAAATTGGAGCAAACTTCAATGACTTGAGTCAGCTGCAGCAGGCAAGCCGCAGCCAGCAGATTCTCAATAGTGTCTTCTTTCAATTGAAGAACACCTAGATGGTTTGAAAAAGTAGAGAATGATTACATGTCCCCTAAAGAATGATACAGATAGGCTAGCTGGCTGAAACATGCCGTTTCTGTCCTTGGCGAAGCTGTGTTTTCTCAGGTACGGGAATGGTGTTTTGAGGCCAACATATGTGAGAGAGTCTGCGTAAACTCTACTAAGATGGCTAATGGGGGCAAGAGTAGGTGATCAAAAACAGCTGTAGCAACTGAATATTGAACACTATCATCGACTGCCACAAATGAACATTGAAAATACTGTCATTGCAAAGAGAGCAACTTATTTATCATCTTAGACGTGCATCTAAATCTTATATCAAAAGCTGTCCAATTATGGCTCAAGGAACATTATGTGATATTGTTAAGGGTAATATAATCGGCCATACAGGTACGTGTCATTCTTGTGGAAAAACATCTCGGTAAATAAGAACATAGAGCTTATGTGTTTATTTTGTCATCTGCATTTATGAGCTGAGAAGGATAACTATGCCCAAATACTATGGCTAAAATTGATGCCTGGCACTATCTCAAAAGAAAGAAAATGTTGCCAAGAGTCTTCAAATTAAAAAATTGCTTATATGATTATTTTGTTAGGTCTAAAAGCCGGTTCTCTTTAAAAGGTATCTGTAAAGAATTTTTAAAAATGAGATCAGAGCAATTAAACTGTTTCCTTTATATTGATATATCTGTATTATTTTGGAGCAAACATTACTAATGAATTATTGCAAATGTGATGTTAATGTGATAGGTTATATTGTCACTGTTTTATTTAAGCCAAACTATAGGTAAGTCATAAAGAATGGTATTGGGTATGGATTTTATAAATTATATAATCTGGCCCTGTAAAATACCTTAATATGGATTCAATATGTTGCAAAAACATAAAGAAAAGAGTAATACATACAGCAAGATGCCCTGTATTTGGTTTACTGTCTAAAATATGCTGTGAAGGGTCCAGTCTACTAGCAGACTTTCTTGTCCTGGAGTTTGAAGGAAGAATCCTGCCTTTATCTTATGAGACCGAGAGAAATGTGAATAGACATTGAAATTTGGCCTCGTTATTAAGAAGAATATTAATCTTTAAATAAATGAAACTCCTAAAAGAAAACATAACCAAAAAGCTTCTTGACATTGGCCTTCACAATGATTTCTTGGATAAGACAGCAAAGCATAAGAAACAAAAGCTGGAATAAACAAGAAGGACCACATCAAGCTAAAGAGCTTCTTCACAGCAAATAAAACAAAAAAGAAACAGAAAAAGCAATTGATAGAATGAGATAAACTATTTGCAAACTATATCTCTTATAAAGGGTTAATATCCAAAATATATAAAGGACTTGCACAATCCGATAACTCAAAAACAATCCAATTTAAAAAATGGGCAGAGGGCATGAATTGAGATTTTACCAAAAAAGACATACAAACGGCCAACAGGTATATGAAAAGGTGTTCAACATCGCTACTCACCAGGCAAATGCAAATCAAAACTGCAATGAGATACCACCTTGCACCTGTTAGAATGGCTAATATTAAAAAAAGAAGGGATGAGCAGTGTCGCTGAGGCTTTGCATAAAAGGGAACCCTTGTGCACTGCTGGTGAGAACATGAATTGATACAGCTATTACAGAAAACAGTATGAAGGTTTCTAAAAATAATTTAAAAAAGAGAAATACAGAATGATCCCGAAGCCCCACTCCTGGGTAAATATCTACAGGAAATGCAATCTTGAATCTTGATTGCAACATTATTTACAACGCCAAGGTATGGAAGCAAGCTACCCGTCTTTTGACAGATGAACTGCTAAAGAAAATGTGAAGATATGAAAATGGGGAGAGATATATATGGGAATATTATTTAACTATGAGAAAGATGGAGATCTTGCCATTTGCGACAGCACGGATGAACCTGGAAATCATTATAGTAAGTGAAATAAGCCAGATGGAGAGAGTAAAGTGTATAGTATCACTCTTACGTGGAATGAAAAAAAATGCTGATTTCATAGAAACAGCAAGTAAATTGATGGTTGTCACGGTCTGGGAGGTGGAAATGATAAATTCAGGTTAAATGGCACAAACTCCCAGTAATAAGAAGTTCTGTCTGGCAGGTACAGCGTGGGGACTATAGATAATAGAGTACTCAGTGCTTGAAAGTTGCTGAGAGCAGATATTAGGCGTTCTCACCACACACAGAGAAACAGTTCACTATTTGAGATGATGTATGCATTAATTATCTTGACCTTCATAATCATTCTACTCTCTATATACATATATACATGATCCTCATACTATATACTTTAAATACATACAATTATGTTTGTCGGTTATTCCTCAGTAAAGTTTGGATGAATGCATACATATGTACTTCAATACACACACATATATACATACATACTACTTGCTGCACAAAGCCATCCTGTTATCTTTGTTTCATAATTTCAGTAAATATGACTTAAATATTCCAAAGAGACAGACTAAATCTTTAATGTTGAATTAAATATCCCATCTCCAGCTTCATTTTTGTCAATGAGAGTTCACCCACATTGTTCAAGAGAAAGAGAGAGAGACATGTTCTCCTATACTTGTGTTCAAATAGTTCTAGTTCTCATGGTTGGGAGGTTGATAGCATATTCCTTACCTCTTGCTCTCTTACAGTATTGAATTGAAATCCTGATTCTTCTGCCCTTTATCGCTTTAGGAAAATGACGTAACTGGCCTATTCTCGATCTTTTCACTTGTAGAATAGGGATGATAACAACAATGTGGGTTATGGGATACAGGATTATTGTGAGGATCGAATGAGTTCATACATGCGCAGCACTTGCCTGTGTAAGCGTACTGGACCAAGGAGTTAAGCGCGTTGGGGTCAACTCCTTCCATCTTGACCTCTTCTTGTTTGGCTTCAAGCACATCATTAGTAAACATGGCAGCAAAATAATCAGACACTGCGCTGAGAACCAACCTGGAAACGAAAACGTTTCACGGAATCGGAAATCAGTCCACCATCTTATTGAAAAGCTGAAATGCAGTCAGTAATTTAGTAACACTGACGTGACTGTTTTTTGTATCAAACGTTCAGTTTAGTAAAGTGTAGTTAAATAGGCAGCTAATAGGTTGATTTTCTTTTAGAGGATTTGTTTTCTGGTTTTCTTCCTGCATCTGTCAAAAGTTTGGATCTTCTAAATATCCCACAGGGAAGCGAATCTATACGGTGACAGTTTTTAGACAAGGCTGGGCGTGTTCAGGGTGGTATGGCCATAGACGGGTGATGCTTTTTAATACAGGATGACCAAAATCTATTTTCCTCAATATTCCCATTTCTAATCAGTGGACTGATTCTTTTTCATTCATAGTTGCTACACTCACCAGAGGTCATGTCTGTCTAAGGAAACTTGCCAAAGAGCCGGGATCCGGTGCACTTACCGATGAGCCGGGATGCGCAGATGTCCAGCAATGAGAAGCACATCACAGAGTTTTTTCTCTTTCAGGTAGTTCTCCATTTTATGCAGAGTTTGCTCTGCATGGTTGACAGCACGGAATTGCTCCTCACAAATACTAGCATTCATTTCTTCAGGATACTGCGTATGTAATCTGAAAGGGGTATAAGAGTGAGAATATATTATAGCAATTGCAATTTAGGCACGTTCACCTCTCAAACAAATATATTAGATTAAAATAAACTAAACGTTTCACTCTGATTATCGGTGTTTCACTGTGATTGCTGCTTAATGTTCCACTACAGTAAAGTGTCGTGGTTAGTATTTCCATCCGGAATGGAACCACGCTGTGTACACCTCAGCTGCAGGAAGAGTGTTCATTGTCTGAACAGAGAAACATGCGTTGATAAAACTGGAAGAAAATACATGTTGTAATGATGAACACCAGAGTGTACTTTTTAAGTGAGATTTCTGCAGTTCTGTGATATTGCAAAGTAAATGGAATCTTTCGTTTTCACAGAAACAATGACAACTGGGAGGCAAGCTCTCTGAGGAAGCTGGTGATCACAGTCACACTTTTACCGTTGAGGGCATAGAGGGGACCCTGTATGGTGCTCCTGGATGGAATTTTGGAGATTTGAGGTAAGAAGGGAAAACTGTAAGGAAATGTTTTCTGTGTATCTGTATTTTAAGTAAACGTGAAGGAAGCACAACACAGGGAATGCCAGGTAAGACAGTTTTGGTGGAACAAACAAATAACCTCAGGGACAAATGTATTTCACTTTACTTATAATGTAATATACTATTCAAAATAAAATAAACTGATGACTTACAGAGACTGCATGTCATTATAAAATTATTTTCTTAGTTGCCGTGTGAAAGAGGCTACAGCTGTAGCTTTTGTGACATGGCTATCATTTGTCATCAAATGGTAACGGGGTGCAGAGCCAGGGTCCCCTGAAATCAGGTTGTGACAACTGTCACAATCGCTGATGGGGGAAGGGGAGGTGGATGGTGGCGCTAAGGTGCCCCGCAGACCAAAGGCAAGTTAGGAGCCGCGCCTTCCTGAAGGGGGACTTGGGTCCGTGGGCCTCCGAGCCGCTGGGGACCCGCGGCACAGCCGGGGGCTCCTGCAGCGCCCGCGGCAGAGGCCGGGGCGGGTGCGCGCCCCGGGTGTCCGTGCGCCCCTGGGAGCTGTCGCCCTGACCGACGGGGGCAGCCGACAGAAGGGCCAGCCCAGGAGGGGCCCGGCGCAACGGGCAGATGCCACGGGGCGCAGGCAGGGCCGGGTGCGGGGGCGCGCGGGCAGCTCGATGCGGGCGCGCTGCGGTGACAGGGGACAGACAGAAGCTATGGGGGCTGGAGTAAGAGGAGAACCTCCCGGGAGGCCTGAATCTGAGGGTGAAAGAGCCCTGAGGTCTGGAGTGAGGGAGGAGGTCTGAAAGCCAGGAATCTAGCGAGTCACCCAGTCACCTGCCCAGCCACCCAGACTCCCGAGAGATGCTTGGGGCTGAGCCGCCGACTTCTGCGTGTCTGGAAGACGGTCCCTCGGGCGGGCTGCTCTGAAACTGGCCGGGTTTGGCCAAAAGACGCGGGCTTACGAGTTTGGGGCGTTCTCGAGGGAATGGGACGTCGGGGCCGACGTGCGCCGTCGTTCCGAACCGGCACCCCCTCCCGTGAGCCGCCCCCCTCCTCCCCCACCCCCCTCCTGGCGGGGGAGGCGCGCTCCGTGGCGGCGGGCACTCGAGCCCCAGGGTGGGCCGGAAGGGCCGCGCCGGCGGCCGGATCGCCCCCGCGTCGCCCAGGCTCGCCGGGCGCTGGTGTCGGCGCAGACACAGTGCGCACGCTCGCACGGCTGGGGAGCGCCCCGTAACCGGAGGGGGGCTTTCTGTCTCCGACCCCGCGCCCCCTGGACTGCAGTCTTCCAGGGGTTTCAGAGACTTTTACGCGGACCACGGACACGGTGCTCGTCCCCGGTTCTCGCTTGGCAACTCGGCTTTCTTTTAAACACCCTTCCTCTGGAACGGGCTCCTCCGGACCAGCGCCGCTGGAAGTGACGGCCCGTCTGCCGAATTTTCCTGACGCCCACGGACACCCACCGCCTCACAGCCCAGGTCCCTGTGGGAAAAGCGGCCGATCCCGTCATCCAGGCTCCAGGCTCCTGGAGAAGAGTGTGCCCTTCTCATGAGCCTGTGCTCCCCACTCTGTGCCATGAGGTTGGATGGAAGAGGCGGCGTAGCCGGGCCCTAGCAGGCGGGAGGCGGCCCGAACGGTGAGAAAGGAGCGCACGTGCGCCGCGATTCCGGTTTCAAAGCTTCGCTGAGGCTGCAACGCCGAGCACATTCTTGAGCCTCCTTTGGGCTTAACTTTCCCAGTAATAATATCCACCTGACGGTGTTACCGATATTGAAAATGATAACGTATGCAGAGTAGCACGTAATCACTGATAACTTAAACATTAAAGGATGGGTGAGACTTCTGCCTAAAGATGGAGGAGTAAAGCTGGGTTTTTTTTTTTTTAATAACACTTCCTTCTGTTGAAATCCATTGAGTAAAATTAAAACATTCTGGAAAAACTTTTCCACCTTCACTTAAATAAGGAAACTGGTAGAAGCTCAAACCATAACTTAGGAAATACCTAACAAATGCCAGGAATCTACGCTGAAACAAAGTAGCATGATGAGCACCTACACAGTCAACTGTCTCTTCACTTAAAAATACTTATTGAGTATTTTACATCAGGCGCTATGATAGTGGCTAAGAATACAAGCAGAAAAACAAAACAAAACAAAAAATGTGACCCTGTTGTTACCATTAAGAAAAATGTCTTCTTGGTTCTTGGACCTCAAAGAGGAAACACAAATGTTTCCAAGGTCAGAACTCATCTTGCTCTTTTGGTCAATGGAAATAAATATTCTTTGTTTGAGTGATTTAATTGGAGGTATGGGTAGAGTACAGGAGATACAGAATACTTGCCCACAAACTGCAAAAGTAAAGGAAAAAAGAAGCATGATAAAATAGGAAGCATAAGAAGAACATGCACCATAAGAGAAGCTGTCCAAGGAAATGCAAGGATGTTGACAATCCTTCACAGTCTCAAAGAAATTAGATCTATCATAGTCTCCCTCAAAATTAGTCCCCCAAAGGGACTTAAAATAGAGAAGAATAAAATCTAACTGGGAGAGTTCGAGAAATAAAGGAAAAAAACAGGATTAAAGCCATAAAGTATATTGGTTCAAAAGAATTTAAGTGGAAAAGTAAGAAATGAACATATACAAATTATCATGGAGGTAGTAACTAAACAGTACATACAAGGGAGAAGCAGTACCTGAATAACTGAGAGAAGACCACTTTGTTTGCAGGTACACGCTGTGTGCTTAAGGCTAAAGCATAATGATTCAAATAATGAAATCAAGTCTCGATTAAAACACTTATCTACCACTGTACCACTAAGACTTTCTGAGCTGAAGGTAAAACACATGGATTTATTCATGAAAACTTCATGAAAATCAGGACCTCTTCAGAGGTAAATATTTTCTATGTGGCTTCTCTCATTCTCGCCAATGTGTAGACACCAATTAGTTTGACACTACAATGTAAAGCAAAAACTTCATTTAAGAATGTCTTTTGATCAAAATAACAAAATAATGTCTTTTGTTATTTCTCAGGAATCTAATTCCTGAGAAAACAACTATAGCTGGCCTTTGAGTATAGTATTGATTGACTCCTTGCGAGAAATGGAAAGCTTTTTCAATGCCATCTACTCCATTAGGGACACTCCACGATTTGAAATATTATTATCAAGTTACACTCTAGGGAACAAGAGTTACTTGAACAAGAACACTGCATTAGATTGCAACACACAGGTGGGCAAGATGGACAGTTTCTGCTAAATATTAAAAATATTTAGCATTCTTTTACACTTTTCCTGAGGTATAATTGAAAAATAAAATTGCAAGATATTTAAGGTGCACAATGTGGTGATTTGCTCTATGTAAACATTGTGAAAAGATTCCCCCATCTAGTTAATTAACATATCAATCATCCTAATATTAATTAAGCAACTAATTAATGTGGGTGATAATAAATGCTACTCTCTAAGCAAATTTCATTTACATAAACAATGTTTTCAACTATATTCACCATGTTAAATTGCATCCTTAGAACCCATTCATCTTTTAGCTGAAAATTTGTATCTTTTTACTAATCTCTCCCCATTTCCCTCACGTCCCGGGCTTTGTAAACCACTTTTCTACTTTCTGTCTCTAAATTTCTTTTTTTAAGCAGTAAACTCAATAACTCCAGCTGTTTTCAGAAAATAGAATCATTTTACAACTTCCTTCTTAATTCTACCTTATTTTACATTTTCTTCTATGTTGCATCTTTTTTCCCCAGCTACGGTTAGATATAATTGACATAGAACATCGTGTAAGTTCAAGGTGTACACCATGATGATTTGATACACATGTATATTGTAAAGTGATTACCACAATAAAGTTAGTTAACACTTCTATCACCTCATATAATTATAATTTATTTTCTGTAATGAGAACAATTAAGATCTTAGTTACTTTCAAGTATATGATACAGTGTTATATTTTTAAAGACGTTATTTATCTATTTTTTAGAGAGGGGAAGGGAGGGAGAAAGAGAGGGAGAGAAAGTCATGTGTGGCTGCCTCTCGCGCGCCCCCTACTGGAGACCTGGCCCGCAACCCAGGCCTGCGCCCTGACTGGGAATCGAACTGGGGACCCTTTGGTTGTCAGTCCGGTGCTCAATCCACTGAGCCACACCAGCCAGGGCGACACAGTGTTATTAATTATAGTCACTATGGTGCATATTAGATCTCCTAATGGGAAATTGTACCCTTTGACCAACATCTCCCCGTTATTTCTGCCCCACAGAATGGGCTGAATCTAGGAGTTTGACTTTTTTAGATTCCATATCTAAGTGCAGTCATTTAGTATTTGACTTTGTGTGACTTATTTCACTTAGCATAATGCCCTCAAGGCTTATCAAGGTCTGTACATGACAGATTTCCTTTTTTACAGCTAAACAACATTCCAGTGTGTGTGTCTGTGTGTGTGTGTGTGTGTGTGATCACATTTTCTTTAACGATTCATCTATAAATGGCACACTTAGGTTGTTTCCATG